CTGAGTCCAAACCAAAGGCCAGGTGGAACAGCTTTGTCTTGCAGGGCCCTAGTCTCTTGTGACAGAGCATTCCACCAAATAGGGGCCAGTACTGAAAAGGCCCTGGCCCTAGCTGAGACCAATCTAACCACCTTGCGACTTGGGACCTCCAAAATGTTGTCATTTGTGGACCTTAAAGTCCTCCACGGGGTATACCAGGAGAGGCGGTCCCGTAGGTACGTAGGTACATGCGATGGAGCTGCAGTAACCAACAATGAAGGGAAACTGGTAAGCAACACTGCCTTGCCACTACTGGTGGAAAGGTGAGTCAATGTCTTTCACATGTCAGCAGGATCAGATTAGAGTTCAATGTTATTCCATTTTTATTATTATTATCCCTGTCTTCCATGGTAGAGCATATACCTGTCCAAAATTATCAGAAAAGAAGGTAATGACATTTCCGTGTATCACTACTCGTCTATGACATGCACAGATGATATGCACTATAGTCACTGAAAACAGACTTCTGAAAATATGATGCAAAGAATAAAATAAAGTCAGGGCCTTTCCACATGTCAAAACATGCCCAAAGTTATAGTGCCATAAGGTAAATGATCATTTATTACATTGTAAGTGATGTACGAGAGAATTGATTTTATGACACTGTGAAATATCATGCTATATATCACCAGCCCCAACACATCCGTGGCTTCAATAGATGCCACAGTTTAAGAGGACTGTCAAAAATCTCTAATCTGACCCCGCTGGACATGAGAGACATCATCTCACCTTTCCATCTCACAGGCTTCAAAATGAGAAAACCCATAAAACCAATCAGAACATCCCCACACACCTGCAACTCCACTGCCAAGTTCTCCTTCATTTCCACTAGCTGACTGGTTATCTGCTTTTAAAGCGAGGGAACAGAGCGACAGGAACAATTTCAACTGCAGTGGTGGAGGAGGCAAACTAACGTCAGCACTCCAACCGTCTCACAACTGCTCCAAAGCTGTGGCTGAAATATTCATTTGAAGAAATCCAAAGAGAAAATAAGACAGAAAGTGTTGGCACAGAGAGAATTGAAGGAACATGCACAAACATGTGGAAGTCTTTATTAGTGAGTGGGGGAGATGGGAATAGGTGGTAAAGCTGAAAGTGCCTTTGAGGGGAAAAGATGTGAAGAATAATCCCACCATCAAACATGTGTATAACTGCAGGGGTTCTTTTCCAAGCATCTGCAACAACTTAACGTGATCTATGCTCCTGGAGTCTCTGAAGGAGGTGCAGTAGAAAAGGAATCTGCTTAAGGGGGTAGGAGGCGTATTAGCAATGAATGAAAATGAATGCACACACACACACACCCCTAAGCTTTGAGGATCTCATTATCAGAAGTGGTTGGGTAGTGCAGGCTGAGGGGATTCCCCCCACCCACAGTTTTCTCCCCTACCTCTCTCTCTTATGTGTAAGTCACCTCTGCTATGCTGAGCGATGACAGCTCAGCTGTATACGAGGATCAATATTTTGCCGCAATCTTTGAAAGGTAGTATTCCAAAAAGGGATTTTCCTGGTGCAGAGTTAATGAACAAGGAATTTGCTTTGATTATAACGTGCCGTTTTTGTTCATGCTAAGAACAAGAGGCTCACGCCCAGGATGTTCAAGCCCCGGCTGCCCAGGAAAAAGCCATTTCCTTAATTGAGAAATCTCATTTGGAAAAGAGCAGCATGCCAGGTCGCCAACGCATATTGCACACAGAGCACGTAGAGGAGAGATTATGCTTTCATCTTTGGCTTTGATGGGGGCTTTGCCTCCCACAGAATTTGAGTTTAAATCCGAGCTCGGTTGGCACATGGGGCTCCCTGCAGTGTGGCATTCATCTCTCTGTCTAACTCCGTGTCCTTGAGGCAGGCAGCCTTTGGTGTCATTGTTTCTTGAAATCGAGGCTTCTGACATCTGGCACAGAAGCATGGCCTGTGCTGTATTGCTATGGAGCATAAGGCGCATATGTATATATATATATAGTGGATGACACGACAGAACAGTCAAAGGCTACCGTGGAATGCCCTTAGTCTTTGTGGGGCTTGCAAAACAGGCCTTTGGCCATGTTTTCATAGAATACGTTTACTTCCTTCGCTTGATTCTTTAATATAAGAAGCGGTTTAGTGGGTGAGAAGTAACAGGAAATCTCAGGCAGTATAAAGCTAAGGGGATTTTGGTAGGAGACGTGCGGGGATAAACTCAAAGGAAAGGAAAGGGACAATAAGTCTACAGCAGGGTAGGGGACCTGTCAATCTCATTTTTTCTCAGTTTCTCATTTTTCCAACCTTAAATTCCATTGTCCACATCAGTTTGAGAGAGAGAGAGAGATTCTCATGAAAATTCACTGACATTTGAGAGTTAATTTCTCCTATATTTGTATGCAATTTTGCCTAAATTCTGCAAAGCATTTCCCCCCAATGCAATGCATTCTGTACATTTTTTTATACACATTTTACCTTGTACACATCACTTGACTGGAGAACTGCTTCACAAAATTTGGAGAAGTGCGAATTTCAAAGGTTGGCTTTGTTTTGGTATATGCATTCTTTTAGAAAGTGTGTATTAGATGAGTTCATGTTTAAATGCCTGCTGAAGGCATTACAATCAACTAATGAACCCAGTTAGTTTTGCCACAGCCTCATGATGCCTTGTGGTAACAGGGAGGCAGGTTTTTTTCACTAGTGGTCGTGAAATGACCTCCCAGCTGAAAGGGAGGCCCAATCAGTACTGGCTTTCCACCAGCCCTTGTTTAGGAAAGCATACCCCTGAACTGATCCTGCTTCATGTATATCATCTCAGTAATCCTTAGAACAGCTCTATAAGGTAGGGTAGGCCAATCTTATTATCCCACTATTGCAAATCAAGTACAGAGGCTGAGAATGAGTGTCTTGCCTAAAGTCAATAGTTCACAAAACTATGATTTGAACTGGGAATTTTCTGCATCACCACACACAAGATCCAGCCTAATGAACTAATGCAGAAGCCTTATAGTGTTCAAGAACCTGGAAACAAGTATTGCTATATAGAATATGCCCAATGAATTTAATGTGTACTTAGTGAAAAGAAAGAAAAATATATGCAGTTCCAGATCACGAAGCTCATGGAGGGAGTTCCAGGAAGGTACCTGAGCATTTTAAAGTACACATATGATTTGTCAGCATAATAGAGATGTATTCATTCCCCAACTCATCCTCTTAGTAACAAAGCAGGGGTTGGGAACCATTTCCAGGTCTTGGTCCAGATGGCCTAAGGTCCCCATGGCCTATTTTCACAAGTGGGTGGCAAGTGACACATTTCAGTCAACAGATCGTTGGCACCTGCAATGCTCCTTGTCCTTGCAGATGCACAGAGCTTTGCATGAGTGATGATCAGTTGGTCAACAGTGCCTGGAATCCCCACTTTAGGCAGAGACCAGTATCTTTACTTGCCATTCATATCATGTGAGATGCAGTGAGGGGGAAATCTGTCAGTATCGGTTTCACTGAGTTTCATAATATTCCAATCTTAAATCATGTTCTTCACATTTCTGCAGCAATTTGTGCATTACTATTTTTTTTAAAAAAAAAAAACTCATGAAAATTCATCAGCCTTTTAGTGCAACTTTCTCTTCATGAACACATTTTTGTATGCATTTTTTACTAATATACACATTTTTGAAGAAAAAATTCTCTCATATAATGCATTTTGCTACATGTTATTTGGTTGGAGATCTGCATTACAAAATTCAGAGAAGTACAGACTTCAAAAGACAGCTGTGCTTTGGTTTATGCATTTGTTTGAGATGTACAAATTAGGCAACTTCTCATTAAAAAAAACTAGCACAAATAACTGCACCATTCATAGTCAGGTGTAGGGAGCGGTAGGAGTAATGTGCCCAATATGGCCTCCCAAGCCAATTGAAAAGGCATACTGGGTCTAATTAAGGCCAGGGGCTGCAGATTCCACACCACTGTTCTAAAGGATGTGGTAGTGTTGATAAAGCAACCTGAAAGACACTCAGATGAGATTGTTGGGTGTATTGCTGCTATTGAATGAATTATTGCCAGGGTTTTATAAGAAAGCATAGCTGAAGGAGTGAGAGAAGAAACTTGATGTAGCTGCCTGTAGAGCAGGCATGGCCAAACTTGGCCCTCACAACTCCCATCATCCCTAGCTAACAGGACCAGTGATCAGGGATGATGAGAATTACAGTCCCAAAACAGCTGGAGGGCCAAGTTTGGCCATGCCTGCTGTAGAGGAAGCTAAAAACAATTGTGGCCATTATGGCAGCTACATGTCTTGTGCTTCTCAGCTGTATGAAGGTGAGTATGCATTATTTCTTTCAGCTGACAGTATTTTGCCAGCTGGAATCAAAGGAGACCTAACATCTGTGTTTAAACTGGTAGGATTTATTGCAGTGGCATCAGATGGGTGGGTGGTTGGGGAGTGCCGATAGGTAAAAAATACTCTGCTACAAGCTGTGTTGTGTATTTGGGGCATGGTCTAGGATTGTATTCTGTGATTATGTTCATTGATCTTGCCTTTAGGTGCTGCCTTTTGGAGATAAATATAAATAGGAAGCCATGTATTCCACCTTGACTGCAAATAGATGTTCATTTGGTTCACTCTTCTGCCAGCTGCTGTGAATATCAGAAAATAATGATTTTATTATCCAGAAAGCTGCTTTTTACAGCTTTCTGTAGATTAGTAGGCTGGACAGTAATCTGTCTCCAGAGAGGCTAATGTATAGTCAAAGCAAAGAGATCAGACATGCTCGCCAAGATTATTATCTGCCTCCTCAGAATCATGCTGGGTGCTAATTCTGTTGCAATTTCTCTGATGGGTCACAGAAGAACCTCTACAGGGCACAGAACACTCACCTGTCAGACACAGGAACATAGAGAGGTGCCTTAAAGGGAGCCAGAGAATTGTTCTATCTAGTTTCTTGTTGTCTACACTGACTGGCAGCAGCTCTCCAGGATTTCAAGCAGGGAACATTCCCAGCTGGAGATGCTGGGATTGAACCTAGGCCTTATGCATACAAAGCAGATACAGTACTCTACCACTGAGTTGCAGCCCTTTCCAAAACCACTAACATGAGCAGCAATGTTTTCCTGCAAGATCTCCAATGTGAGCTATAGGAATTTATCCTGGGCAGGTGGAGGGAGGTAAGCTAAGCAGAGACTTGCTCCCTCTCTCGTGGTAGCACTGTGGGGGAAGAATGGAGATAGGTGGGAATCAAGCAGGCAACTCAGTGGCACCTTTAATGTAACTGGGAATTCCTGAGGCTTGCCACCAGGAATATAAGGACCCAGAGGCAGGATATGGGTTCCTTTGGGGGTGGAATTGTTTCACCTACCCTGAGCTGTGAGAATGGGGTGTGGGAGCAGATGGCCTCCCTCAATACCTGAACAGGCATAAGTTAAAAGAAATGTGGGAATAACTGATTGTTCCCTCCCCAGCTCAATGGGCTTAATTTGGATAGATTTCAGTTTCTTTTCAGTTCCTCTCCCCCCACAATCTTGAGTTCAGTTTGCCTAATTTCTACAAAAGGTTTTTTGGGGGGAGAAGGGGGTATTAAGTCCTCATGGGAATTGGCACATATGGAGGTAGTGTGAGGGCAGCTTGAGGCCCCTTAATTTCAGAAAGCAAGGTTCTTGGGGATAAAAAGACAGATCAATGTGTCATGGTCCTGGTTCTATCAAACAAGCTCTCCACGGAAGTCCACCTTAGCTTTTCACAGGTATGAACCAAATTTGGAATGGTGGGCATTTAAACTCTTAAGTGTTCTGATTGCTTATGCTTTTACTTTTCAATCAGTGGTTGCTTTTAAACTGATTTCAAAATTTGATTTCAGTTTGGCTTCGTGTTTTAGTAGAAGCTACTGGAAAGTTTTCAAGTGAGTGAAATAAAAACTGTAAATCACTAGCTACCAATACAAAGGGTCAAGGTTGTCTGCATTTCTATACACAGCTCTGTGTCTTTCCTTGCCCTATCCAGATAGTTAATGAAATGGGCAGGAGGAAGAAAAACAAGGGCAGTATAATATGCTAGCTGTTTGGCAGAAAGAACTATCAGGATAGATCGGTTAGTAGTTTTGACTTGGCAACTCTCCCTGAACCATCAAAATGCTGGTGCGGCTCTTTAGAAAGAAGGATGTAGAAATTATGGTGGCTCCAGAGATCTATAGGTCATATATTTCTGGCATTCCAAATGCAAGTGACCATGACAGCAGCAAAGGGGCACTGTCATGAGGACCAACTCCAGAAAACAGAGCATCATTTTTCTGTTGTTGTTTTTTCAAGAGAAGTTATAAGCTACTAAAGGAATGAGGAAAAAGAATGGTGAAGGATAGATCTCAATGCAAAGGTTAGTCAGAAGTATGGAGTGAAAAGGAATAAGATAATTCAGCAAAGCACCAGTGTGACTGTGGATGTGCTGGACCTTTGTCTTGCCTTGATAATGGACTGTATGCCAACAAACTGAATCTTAATCCAGATAAGACTGAGACACTAATAGTGGGCGGTTTCCAGTAATAAAGAATAAAAGATGAAGCCTACAGTGGCCTTTAGCTGGTGGGAAACAGCTTGATCCAAGGAGAGTTGCAACAGGAACACTTCCACCATGCAAATATATTGTAAAAGATTAAGAAATATGTCCCCAAATGTATGCTTGGGTTAAAGGGAGTCCTGGGTTGAAGGAGTTGTCTACCCCACATCAGAAAACAAAAGCTACAAGAAGGTTGGGGGAAACTCAGAACCTTTCCAACTGAAGGGAGGAAACCACTCAGAAGTTACGTTTGGCATCATAGTATCCACATAATGGATGGGATAATCTTGTGCAGAGAATGCTTACGAGGAGGTGGGCTCTTGGTGCTGCAATATTCATTCGACTTTGAGCTTGGGGGAAAGCGAGGGAGAGTAAACCAGATTAAAAGGATCCACCCCTGAAAGTCTTACCTCTCCCATGTCTTTTCACATCTTTATCAGATTTTGGAGGTAAGGCAGCAAAGTAATTAATGTCTTTAATTACTGGTTTTTACTGAATTAATTTGAACCAGTCAGGGTCTGGAGTGGACCAGTGGAAGAGGGGAGCACACAGAGGTCATAGGAAAGAAAATTAAAATTACAATGTGGGGAAGGGGTCAACAAGGGAATGGAATGTGTGTGGGATGGGCAAATGGTGTCAATTAAAAGAAAAAAAGCTCCCAGTGCTTTTATGGAATTAAGTGCCCTACTCACCCATGGTGGCATGGTGCTTATCCTCTGTCAGGGATTCTTTAGCTGTGATTCCTACATTGCAGGTGGTTGCACTATTGAGGTCTTCCAACTCTACAATTCTGTGATTCTTTCAGTGGTGATATGAGCATTTCCCAAGATGAAGCCACGGTACCAGCCGAATCACATTAATCCACACAGCACTCCAAATATAGCTTAAGAACATAAGCAGAGCTCTTATAGACCAGACCAAAGAGCTCTTTCAGTACAGGATCCTGTTTCCCACGATGGACAAGCAGATGCCTATAGGCAGCCCAGAAACAGGGCAGGTGAGCAATAGCATCTATTGTTCCCCAGAAACTGGTATTCATGCTTCCTGTGATCCTAGAGGCAGCACTAGCTGGGAAAAAATAATGGTATTTTACCACTGACAAGATATTGAATTATGAGTGCTGGGGAAGTGTGACTTCCTTCCAGCATAAATGCTTCCTTGAGGAAAATATTTTTGACAACTTTGCAAAATCTGTACATTTATCATGAAGGAAACCGGGCCTCTCAGACACCTGATGGATCAAACCGCAGAATGAGCCACAGGAGTGATTGCCCTGGGAACTGAAGCCTTTTGATGTTTCAGTGAGCTGAACTCGAACAAGGTTTCATTCTGTTATGAAATGTTCAAAAACAATTTGTGAGCTTCCCAGCTCCATCAGGAAACCCCAAAGCCTCTTTTAATTGTCATTATGGTCTCAGGTATCAAGTAGGGAAGGCCATTTCCTGTGTGAGTTAAGTGCTCTGCTGTGCAGAGGCTCCTGACGTCTCTTTTTAATATGCCCTATTGGGTATTAATAGTGCTTAGCTTTATTTTACATAATTTAGAGGTTGCCTTATCAAATATTAAAATGCTTATTAATGTTTTGGGAAACTGGCAAAGCAACAAACATAAATTACGGGCAGTGGCGAGAGTGCTGATCTGCGCCATACTAATTAGCTACACAGCAACACTTAACTGTTATTCATGTGATGACAAGTTGGAGGCAAAATCCTCCTGTCCCCTTCCCAAAAGTATCACTTTTAAAACTTTCTTTGTATTCCCTAATAAGTATTTGCCACACGTCTAAAAACACTGAATTGTGTGTAGTTGGATTCCGGCATAGTGATTTCCTGTTCACTGTCACCAGAACAGCCGCAAGCTCCCCAAAATCCATTGTTCCTCTCTTCCTTTAGCCCAGGAGGAACCCTGCTGCAGGCCACACATGGGAGCTTTGCCAGAGAGCTGGATAGAATCCCGCACACAAAGTAATGCATTTACAAAACAAACAAACCTTTATGGAGCCTGAATTCAACAGGCAAGGCTCAACAGACGACGTGGCCTAGTGAGCTTCCATACTGTTGTTTTACTGGTTTTGCATTATTAGTTTCATGTTTTAATTCTATATCATTTGTTTGTTTTAGACTGTGCAACACTTAGAGATCTTTGAAACATCAAGAGGTGTATAAATGCTTTTAAATTTAAATCAAATCACTGTTATAGGTACAAAACACACCTAAGGCTCACACAATTCCCTCTGCCTTCTCTTCTTTAGGTTTTTCTGTGTGTAAGACATACAAACGTTAGAACGCCCATCTAGTTCAACATCTTATTGGTCCAGTAACACCAATTTGTCCATTGTGATTGATTGATTGATTGATTGATTGATTGATTTAGTCTTAATTTCAGTTTTGCCCCATTTCCACATGCTTTCTTTGTGATATTTTTTTTAAATTAAAAAGTTTCCATGAAAATATATACATGTTTTTATGGTCATTTCCCCTAATACATTATCAGCTCACATATTTCAGAAAGTGTGGATTAGGTAAGCTTGCCTTGAAATATGAACTGAATTGAATTTCACCCCATCTCTAGTGACTGTCAAAATACACAGTTATTTCCACAGTGATATTAATTGATGAGAAATTGGAATCCTGTTACTGAATACCTAAAAAACAGAGCAATCTCTTCAATCAACGACAGCTCGCCTCAGCTCTCAAAACTTCACAGGTTATGCTGCATTTTATGTACATCACATAACTAAAACCAGTGCGAGCTTGACTGGGCTTTAATGTTAAATAAAAGTCAGTAAAAATGGGGATGACTTTCCAACTTTTAAATCAGGGAGGGAGATGCAAGACGCTCCGTCTATTTTAGCACCCAACTTGAGTGAATGAGCTCTTTGCCTTTTACAGATATCACAGTATGGGTAGCTCAGTGGGAGAAAAAGGGAGGTTTTAAAATGAAAGAGCAACAGACCTTTCAGTCTGGTGAACTTTGTGTGTGGGGAAATGTCAGCTGCATAGTGTAATGCAACTGGGAATTCTTCAACAATTTACCTCACTTATTTGTGTCAATAGAGTTTGCATGTGGTCCCTGAGAAGTCAGCATCCTCCCAATCCAAGTCTTCGCTATCGGTAACGGAAATCTCTCCACATAAAAAGAGCAGCCAGTCTCGGAAAAGTCATATTCATTATCCTGAAAAGATTTCATGGGGAGTCATCTATTTTAGCACTAGTCTTGGCTGGGTGGACTCCAAAATTCTAACTCTAAATTTTCCTATACTTTTTTTTTTATTTTTAAGCCTCTCCAGCCCTCCTGTTTTAGTGCCACCCAAGGGTAAGAAAATAACCTGAAGGAACAGGAATCATATCTTCTAATATTTGCCTCTTCCTGTGCCTCAGTCTCGCAAATTCTCCACTGTGAGATTTATTAGAGGAGGACTGCCCCCTACTGCAAGAAAATGAAAAATATAAATGAAGCCAAGGCACAAAACGATAGCCAGTTTAAAGAGCAGCTGGTGGCAAAAAGGAAGCAGGGGTGACCCTG